CAGCCCTGTCTCAGAACAAAGGAAGCCGTTTCGTAACAGTGGGTTAGAGGCTGTCGACAGGACACCTATATTGAAGACTCCACCGATCTGAGAAACTGGGATGAAAGTGGGCAGAAGAGTATAGCATACGTCACTGAAGTTCTCCAGACTTTTGTTAGGATGCTGACACAACTAAATATTCTTATTGATTTTACTTTTAATAGTAAAAAGACACAATGACCCAGGCAAAAATAGGGCAACTGATCTGCTTGGTAAGTGATGGTGTGTTCTGATCTAAACAGATTTTGTGTAACCCCAGCTGGTGATTAAGGCAGGAGATTTATTTCAGTTTCCCTCACAGCCCAAGTACAAACGACAGGCAACAGTTAATTATTTTTGTTAGTGACATTCAGTATCTGCTCCTCAACCCCTGCTATAGTGAAGATCATGTCAATGTTTCCATTACAAACCTCTTTTCAGAGGAGCAGAGACTCTGCCAGAAAGCTTCCCTCCAGATTGCAGTTTGGCATAAAGCCTGAATTTGAGAGTATTTCTGTTCAAGATGTAGCCGCCTTTTTCTTTCATAGGGGTTTGGTTGTAATTCTTTGTGCTTCTGACACTCGCGTTTTTTTTCTTCCTTGGAGACTAAATTTTTTGCATCCTCATTTGAAAAAGTAAAACTGTCAGGCCAGGTACTTAACAGACATGAAGACTATACTACTCATCCTTAAAAGTGGTCCCCCCCAAGTCAGGGTTGGGCAGTATGGGAGAAGCTTGTGCTGCAGCTGTTCATGTTGTATCTGCCGCCTCAGTAAATGGGACTTTCTCTTGCATTTTGTTTAAACTCTACCCTTCTATTCCTTTTTTAGGTTTTCACAAATGTAATGCAATATGTTTGTGTTTGGTGTCCCTTTTATAAGGGTAAATACTGACTTTCATATAAGAAAGGGTAATGTGCTAAGTTTCCTAACCCTCCCAGACTCTGGATTTTAATGTCATATACCTTGCCCCTAAAGGGTTTCCTCAGTCTTTTTAAGAAGCAGCCACACCGGTAAACTATCAAATGGCACCTGTTTGTATATACCAAAGAGAAATCAAGGATGAGCCTGATCTGAAGTAAAGTCAAATATCTTGACTGACATTGAAGCTGGGGAAGAATTGCTGGGATAAGAGACCCACATTTTGCAGACAAGTAGGCACATGCTCAACTTTATGTACAAGAGTAATCCCACTGGCTTCAATGAGACTGCTAGCATGTGTAAAAGTTATGCATGTGCATAATTATCTGTAGGATGACTGCCAAATTGGAGCATCCTCATTGTGCAGTCACACCCTTAATGGAAACAAAGCACCTGTTCAAAATTGTACAGGTAAAATTACCTTCAGTTCCACGAGCACGTGGATTTTCAACTGTTTCATAGCAATGGGACTTAGATATAGCCAGATAAAAGGAATTGTTGGCTTGCTGCATCCACAGATGCCTATGGTGCAAAGTAGTTTTAATATTCTCTTGCTTAGACTATTGATTCAATTTTTTTAAAACTGGTTTCTTTGCACTTTTTCTGAAATTCTGAGTGAACAGCTTGTTTACCCAAGAGTTTAACATTGAGAGCATTTGACAGTGGAAGGACTTTCTTTCATATAGCAGTTTTAAAGTCAAAATGCATCCTTGACACTGTTCAGTACTTAACCCTTTATTTTTAACTTTGAAAACGTACCTAGCAAAAATTTAATTAAAACTTTATGGGTGTTAAGGTTTTTTAAATTACCAGTAGAAATTTTGTTGAAAAAAGTCCCTCTGTTAGAATTTAGGTAATGTGGTGTTAGTCATCCTGTTTCAGTGCATACATTTCCTGTGTACCAGGATGCAACAAAGATGCAAAACATTGATGCAATGCATCATGAAAAGCTAGTTTGTATTTAATGAGAGATGGCTTTACACTGTACCTTTTTGATATTTTTTTTGGAGAAGTTACTACATTTGGATCTATTCTGAAGCTTGTTGGTTTTTTTAAATAAAATGTTACAGGTTTCACATTTTGTGCCTGCTTATAAACCTTTGGCCAGTACATTGATAAATTATGCAGATTTCAAATATCACACAAGGGAGAATTCAGTTCTTGTTAACTGTAGCTCTTAATTTGCTGTATGTTCCTTGAAACATTTAACATAAAGAAATCTGCACTCTTGAGTCAGCCTACATCCTGAGATGTGACCAGCACTTCCTGCTGCTGTATTGTGTGAACTATGAATTTCATTGGATGAATACGTTAATTAAAACTGACATTTCTGAGCCTTCTCTTAGCAAGTACCATCTAACTAGGGGGAGGGATAGCTCAGTGGTTTGAGCATTGGCCTGCTAAACCCAGGGTTGTGAGTTCAATCCTTGAGGAGGCCACTTGGGGATCTGGGGCAAAATCAGTACTTGGTCCTGCTAGTGAAGGCAGGGGGCTGGACTCAATGACCTTTCAAGGTCCCTTCCAGTTCTAGGAGATGGGATATCTCCATTATTAAAAAAAAACAAAAACTGAAAAGTGATGTAGTCTGTGACACACTGCCAGCTGAAGATCCATCTCTACATAAACCACTTTTCATGTTGCTCTAGTATGGTTCACTAATCAGAAGATAAACTTTAATCTAAACCAGTATTACAGGATCAGTGTGTTTTTGTCCCTGACAGATTCCCCTTCAGTCTCAAATGAGGTCACTTTTCAGTGAGATGCCAGCAGGAGCTTAGATTTGCAATAAAACTGCCACTTCTAATTCCTGCTGTAGACAAAACATAGCCTTTAGATATGGTTGACAAAATTTCAACTGTGGCAAGTACCTGGCCAGGCCCCTGGATTATCTAAATTCCCTGCTTTTCCATTACCAGCTAAGGCCTGAATGATGAGCTTGTTCAGATATTATCTAACAAGACACATGCACTGGTTTTTATTGCAAAATAGCATATCTGTCCTTCCTGAAAGATCAAGGTGAGCTTTTGTGCAGACATCTCAAATTATAGGGCTGGAGTGAGTCTTTTATTTTTGACTGGTGAGCGAGGTAGACCTTAAAAGAAGAAATGTTTGAAAGGGTTGCACTTATCCCTAGTTCACAAAGCAACACACTTCATTCACATTCAGAATTCCCATCAATAGAAGCAGTCTGGGAGGATGTGTTGACACTGCTTAAGTAACCTAATCCAATGCCTTTGCCTCACCTGAACTTACTCCCCCCCCCCATATTTTTTATAGTTTGTGGACCAAATATTAGTTATCAGTGGAAGAAGTTACTTGCAGATCCTATAGGTGCTAAACAAGTATGTATTGAAACTTATCCTCTGGTGGTTTTTTTGAAGGGTTAGAATGACAGTGAACATTGGATTTGAACATTGATAGAGCAAAGGTTTAGGCTCTGCATCAAACTAAACTGACATCTGTTGCTTTTCCGTATCAAAACCCGAGCAGAAATCTTTGCCTGTGAATAAAGGGATATGTAATCACTTCTCTACTACAGAGTTGCATTAAATTTGTAATTCCAAAAATAACTGCAGCCATATAAGGACAGTGAGTTTTGTAATGTTCGGGAGTTAATGTGCCAGAGGCGAAGAATCTTGTAGCAAAGATTCTGAGCTGTGGCCTGAGAGAGCAGCCTAGTGCAAAACCCACCATCTCTAGTGTGGCATGTTCATATCTATTAAGGGTACATCTAGGGGTAGTGATTGATGTATTGGGGATTGATTTATCGCGTCTAGTGTTGACACCGATAAATCGATCCCTGTTTGCTCTGCTGTCGACTCCAGAACTCTACCATGGCGAGAAGCGGAGTCAAGGGGGGAGTGGCAACCATCGATCCTGTGCTGTGAGGACGTGAAGTAAGTGATTCTAAGTCAATCTAAGATGCGTCAACTTCAGCTACGCTATTCTCGTAGCTGAAATTGCATATCTTAGATCGATTCCCAGCCCCCAGTGTAGACCAGGCTTAAATGTAGAAGCCCTGCAGGTGAATACTGGCATAAAAACAGTAGGACACAGCTCAGCTATTGTAAACCAGCAGAGCTCTGCTGATTCTAGTGGAGCTATACCTGTTTATACTTGTTGAAAATCTAGCCCATGACTCAAATACTTTCTCTGGCCTAAATCTATCGAAAACCTCATTGTTAAATCAAACTACTGTACATTACAGCTGCAGCTTTGCTTCCGTTTCACCCTTGTGAAGAGGCTTTCTATAGTGATGGAACAACCCTTTCCATTGCTGTAGGTAACCCCCTCTGCAAAGGGCAGTAGCCGGGTTGCTGGAGTAATTCTTCTCATGTCTCAGCAATGTAGCTAGGTTAATCTAAATGTGAAGTGTAGACCAGCCCTGGATCACAATGGGTGAGTATGTCTGAGTGTTTTTATGACTAGAGAACTGCACTGACAGCACCACTCCTGGATTAAGGCATAAGCACGATCGGTTTCATGTCTAGGACCCCACCACGGGGTGTGGGGGGGTTAGGAGTGTATCTTAGCACCTCTGTTTCTGTTTAAAAGAAAAGGTTTAATCCTCTGCTTTGGTTACCCTTGCCTATCTATACTATGTGCAGCCAGCCTGGCCTAATAGCTGTGTTTCATGGAATGATTGACTGCAGGGTCTATTTCCTTAGGGCCCTCTGCAGCAGCAGTCTCATGGAGGCCTCTAGCTTGAGGAGACAGAAGAGTGCAGTGGACTAGGCCTGCTCAGGCAGCTGCATGCTGGCTGTTGATTCCTCCCCCGGGTTCCATTCCTGGGGATGGGGCAGACAGAGGTTCCCTGGGACTAGAGGGACCAGCTAGCAAGTGTAAAAAAATCAGGACAGGGAGTGGGGGGGGGGTAATAGGGGCCTATCTAAAAAAAAGCCCCCCCAAACCAGGACTGTCCCTACAAAAGTGGGATATCTGGTCACCCTACGTAGGGCTCCCCCTGTCTCTCAGGGAGGAGGAAGGCGGGGCCTAGGAGTTTATTATCCTGCTGAGCCTAGAAAGC